ATGATAAAGCACATCACACCATCTGGGGAAAAAGAACCTGCTTTCTACAAAACAAAGCACTCTTCCACTTGAAGAAGTCCAAGCAGTTAGTATCTTGAAAGAAACCTGAAATGTTTCCCAGAGAAAGGAACTGTCTCAACTTGAGCACTATGAGACGCAGGAAATACTCACAGACCCAATTCCAAACACATCTAAAGGATGTCCTGTTTGCTGCTGTATTCTCTCAGTAGTTTTAACACAGTATTATCATTTATACATGGTTTGATCACAAACAGTTGGTGACCAGCACTGTATATCCAGTTCAGCACCATAACTATTCCACAGAACTATCACCTTTGTATCTCTGAGCTGGTGCAGGAGGGTTTTTACCTGGAAGAAGATCCTACAGGGTTCCTGTCATGTTTTGAATACTTTTCTCCATAATTCAAAGAAAAAAAGGCAGGGTGAGAAGATGAAATCTCCACTGTCAGTGACCAAGACATTACTGGGATGTTGCAGTACCTTCAAGAAGTCACCCTCTGAGTAAAGACCACCTGGCTTAAACTCTACCTAGTCAGGACAGCAAAATTACCTGAATGTAAGCCTTCTTGCTCATATGTGAAACAGATCTTGCAGTTTTGCTGGACTGATCAATTAATAATTTAATTAATTAGTAACTAATTACCAATGGCACTGATGACAACACTTACTTCCATTTTCTATTCTTCTGGGGCTTTTTTGTAGTGATTTATTCAGAATAATTTGTTAATTTAAGTCTTCCTAATCAGCTGAGGTTCAGATACCTGAAAAGTAGCCAACTACTTGAAATGCCTGGTTCACAGGGAACTTCTGTGCCTCAATATGGCTTTAGGAGCCAAATTTGAATTTTGCTAATGTAGAAACCTTGGCTAGTGCATTTGTCATTTCCTGTTTCTAGAACACTCATGAAAGCTCTGCTAGAGAAAAAACCAGAGGGTTCACATTAGGTAAAATGCAACATTTCAGAAAGTATTATGACCCACACTCTGAGCTAAAGAAAAATTGAACTTAGTTGGTCAGAACTTTAAACCAAAATTTTGTTTTCTCTCCAGCCTAGTTTAGCCCCATAACATATGCAAAGCTGTGCTTACAAGTTTTTTTCTGAGATCACAGGATCTACAACCCATGCTACTGGAGTTCTGCAACTAGTATTTTTTAAGTCATGGCAGGTGTTTTTTTGTTTTTTTTTAGTTTGTCCATTTATGAGGATGCTATTTTTGAAGGAGGAGAGAGCAGAAGGTGACTAAAACAGTTAATATGAGAAGCTAAAGTTACCACATGGTAATATAAAAGTAGGAAGAATAATTTACTGGCAATACCAAAGCTAAACTTATCAGGGACTCATATATATATAAAACCACACCTGCTTTATAAATTTATCAGATGTTGAAGTGCAGCAATGACTTTTACAGGAAAATGTTTACTGCACTTTGTGAACACAAAAATACTCCAACCACCCCAATGCCTAAACTAGCTAACAAAGTTATTCAGCTTGCACGAAGATTCTGATAAAAGCTCTGTGTGACACTTAGGTATTTACTTCTGGCAGCTGTGTCACTAAAGAGGTTGCATCACTTCCTCACTGCACACGTGTCCTTTTCAACCCCTGTGACCTAAGGATTTATACCTTGAAAATGGGATTAGCAAACACACACATGTCTGGTTGCTATTTATCACACCTAGATCATTCTAGCTACAATAAATGCATCTAAAACATATAGAGTAATTAATTAAGATAAAACTAAGAGTACAGCCTAGTTTCTCCATCAGGCTTATAAATTTCCTATGAAGTGTTTTATCTGTTACAGCAACAGACTCCCCAAAAAATCTGTAATAACACTTGCCATACCGTGCTACAGACAGTGGTTTAAACATGATTTGCACCTACCAAGCATTTGTTTGGTTTTAGTAGGGTTCCATTATGTTTGAAAAAATATACAATTAAACAACAAAAAAACAAACAACCCTCCCAAACTTCAGATATTTTTGATTTGGTGGTTTTCTGGGTAACTTTTAATACTTGTTCAGGCATATTGAGAAGAGATACCCAGAGCCTTGGCTGGGTATCTCATACAGTATGTAAAAATTCAGGTTGATGCAAGAACTCTACTGGCAAGGGATGGCAGTATTACATAAGAGTACAAAAATGCTCATCAGAAATGTCAAATGCCTTTACATCACTGCATTTTTTGTGTAAGGATCATTTGAGTTAAATAGTTGCTAAGTCTGCTTATGTCCCCTTGTAAATTCAGGGGGTATTGATAGTACCTGTTAAAATATACCAATCTGCCAATATTTTAATGGAAAGCATTTACATGTCAGTGTTTGGTGAAGGGGAAAGGAAGTTTTCACTTCTACTCTGACTCTGCATCAGGTCATTGAAACTTGACTGTCACAATCCAGCTGCTCCACAGTCGATGCCTCCAAAAAGGCTTTTCATCAGGAACTACTGAAACACTTCTGCAGCTGGGGTTTGATGCATGAGCTGCAACAAGAGTGTGGCTACAGTTATGTGATGTGTTACAGGCCTCTGCCCTCAAGAGCCTGAGTTCACCACCCTGTGGTCATGTGGCTTCTCTCTCACTAAAAGGCAGTCTAATATGATATACTACAAATGCTAAAATTAATGGAATTATATTAATTAATTTCAGCTTTTGTGGCCTGATATGTGGTCTAACAATGTTTCCATGCAGGCTGATCCTTCATCCTATCATTCCTCCTATTGTGTCTTTATCTCATTCAGTAATTTCTCAGAAGAGGGAGATTCACATTTCCTTCCAGAATCTGTTGTTTTGTTTATGCCTTTTTCTTTTTAATGATTTAATCCACCAATTTTTAAATGAGCTTTAGTCCACCAAGAATACTTGCTTGTGCCTTGTGTTGGTCACAGCCTTCTCCAGCAGCAGCTCTGGACTGGGCTCACTGGTGCATGGGACTTTCAGTGCCTCTTTGTGGAGCCTGTTCAAGGGCCCATCTGCTACAGGCTGCAGTGCCCTCCAAGGCACTCTGTACAGCTTAGGTGCACACAAGAACAGCTATTGCACTCATCACAATTACAAAACACCTCACAAATAAAGAAGTCAATGAACCTATGGGTTTTCATCAAACAGATCCTCAAGTCACACCATACATGCAAATTAGACACACTTGTATTTAGCCAACTTTAATCAGCTTTCTTTGCTCTTTCACAGATGTGGTCCATGTATCTCTTTCTTTGGAGCTTCTCTCACTTCAGAGTTGTCCACAGGATTCTAAGCTTACCTCTTTCTTCTTTCCAGACAGATGTTGGGGAACTCTCTTATTCCCTGCATTATGAAATTCTCACATTCTCAAGCTCACATACAAAGGAAAAGATAACTACCTTAGCCAGCTTGAGCCACATGCCATAGTCTTGTAGAGATACAATATGTCCAGACTACACCTGCCTTCCCTTACATACTGTGTAATTGCAGAAAACAGACCTCAGGGACATCTCCCTGTAACCCTGGGGCATCATCAGCAAAATCAAGTGTCTCTACTGGAGTTCTCTGTCTTTTCTGTTTTCAAAAACTCCAGTTTTGAAAACTTCCTTCCTCCAGTGAAGGAAGGCAGGCTGTTCACCCCACCTGAAACCCTTCTCCTTAGCTTAATAAGGCATATTGTAAGAGACTTTTCCTAATGCTTAACTTGCTTTTTCAATTCATAGCTAGCATCTATCATCCTTGTGGAGAAGAGTATTCCTATTTCCTCTATAACAACTTTTTCCATATTCAAAGACTGTTCACATCTTCCTTCAGTCTCCTCTTCTTTGGATTAAAGGGTATTTTAAATCTCTTTTTGAGTATTTTCTGTCCTCCAGACTTTATTAATTTACAGCCCATCTCTCTCAGGTGCCCCAATATGAACAGGTACCTCAGGTAAGACCTTATCACATCTTGGTAACTAAGAAATACCCTGCTTCTCACAGGCCACATGCTGATGCACCCCTCCATCACGAGCACCTTTTCTGCAGCAAAGAGTTAAGAGTGCTAAGTTTGACAAATTCTGTGCCATCCCTGCCTACAGATATAGCACAGTAATACACACTCCTCCTCTGTGCAGCTGACTATTCCTACTTAAGTGTAGTTTCTCATACACCTTATTTTTTCCAATCAATTTCTCCTATTTTTCATGATCAGTTTTAATTCAAATCTTGCCAGCAAGTCTGCTGCTGCCCTGTGAGCTTGGCTTTTGTTACCTGGATAAATCAAAAGTTTAATTATTACCTCCACATACCCCCATAAAGCATATTTTCTTCCATTTTTTTCCTCCTACCATCTTTATTAAAGCCAGTTCCAGTTTGGAGACCTGCCACATACAGTTGAGGATTTCTAAGGACACATTCCAATACCCTAATGAGCTTTAAAACACCTGCTATTTAAAAAATACTTATAAAAGCATTTGGTACAAACAGACATCCTTTGCTAAATAATCTCAATAGATTTCCATGCACAAAACCCTATAAAACTGGTCAGAAATGACTTAAAAGATTTTTTTGTTTGGAAGCAGAGTTGCCATCACAGTTATTTTGTTACAGAGTCCTCCCTCCTCCTACTCCTTGGAGCCTTCAGTCACATTTCCTAATCAATGAAGCTCTGTGGTTTTATAATAATCTAGATTTTTCTCTGAGACCTCCAGTAGCAATTAAGGCATCTGGCTTTACAAAAGGAAACATATGTATTACTAATACAAGTGTGGTGGTTTTTTTAAACAGTTCTAAACTATTCTAAGCTTCATATACGTTCTGTGAAGTATAAGTAATGTTGCTATAGAGATTTAACTAGCACTTCTTCAGGATGTTCTGCAACTTGCTGCTAGCTTGGTCTCTGAAGTGACTGCAACCTTTTCCAACTTGTGCTGATACACCCAAGTTTCCATGCTGTATTCCATGCTATGTTATCTGTACAGGCTTGCTACAAAAGAAACCTATGATTACTGATAAATCTCAATCAAATATAGCTCTGGATACATCTCCCATAAAATGTTGTGTGGATGTAATTTGGATTGGTTATGAGAGAAAAGCACAAACAGTTCAGTTATGTATTTTCAAACAGTATGTGGCATGTCAGTTTGGAAAGAATTCATGTTTAATTGCATCCGGAAGATTACAGTAGAAAAGTGCTGGGGTGAGGGATAAGTATCTTCTCCTTTTCATTCTACCATGGAAAGAGAAACAATTTTGTCATTCAGCAATAAAAATAAAAAAGGAATCCTTAGCAAGTTTTTGTATTACTGTTTCCAAACTGTTCACTGAAACCAAAACAAAGGGCCAAAGTATGCTTGCCTTGCTCAAGAGAATAATTCCCACCAAAATCAACAAGACTGACTATTCAGATATGGACAGCAAAGTTTGGCCCCAAATAAACATCCCCATAACTAGGGAAAACACTAATCACCAAAGTGCACTTTACACCATAGTAGCTACATTTTCTTTATACATGCACAGTTTGTGCGACACTCGGTACATGGAACTAGCCAATGGAATATAAATAAGTTGTGCCGCTTCCTTTTAAATATGAACATTAATAATGAAGCACATTCACATTTTTGCCTTTCAAAGACCTTTTCAAAAAAAATAGAAACACCTTTCCCCAGGTAACCTGGAACATGTTGTAAGACATAGCACATATGATTCAAAGGATGGTATTCAGGTAGAACTTTCACACACAAAACTGGTATTTGCTGTATAATTGGAGTGACTTATGAAAATCCCAAGAAAATACAACCCTCTCACCAGGAGAGGAAGGTAACAGTTGTAGTGTTAATTCAGTTTCTTCTGCAAGGGCCTCCTTCTATCTCCAGCGCTGTCAGGGCTGAAGTCAGTACAGATACCATTAGGAGCAGAGAGAGATGAAGTCTTCAAGTCGCTCTCAGCTCCCATCTGATCAGCATAGAGATATTCTTCTGCAAAGTGTGGGTGCAACACAGCAAATGTGTAGAAGTCGTCTAAAAAAAAAATAGTTGTTGCACAGAATCAGCTCTTTGAAACAGAAGGATGCTAAATTTGAATACTTACACATATATAATCACATGATTTCTTTGGAGGAAAATAGCAGCAGTTAACATAATGCTATCCCCAGTGCTTGTTTTAGCTTTCAGCCTAACTTTATCACATCTGCAGAGCTGAGATGCTGCAAAGAGTTATCTAAGCCCTCTGAAAACACTTCAGGCTTAGCTGTATGAAGGGGTAAACAGACTCAGATTTGCATTAAAATGCATGATGAACACCACATGCCCTGACATAGCATTTTACTATTCACTGGGGAAGTACAGAAGCCCTCCAGCTGAAGATCACTGAACATCAAGAGCAGTCATTTCTTAAATTCTTAAAACTCTTTTGCAAACATGCCCTTTAATGCTTTGCACTCATAGTTTGCTTCAACCTAACAGCAGCTGTCATTGCTGCCTTCTGCTTTCAAGATTTCAGCATTTTAAAAGTCCTAATATTTTAGGGAATAATATTGAGAAGATAATTTATAACACAGGAAAGAGCTCCCGATTTTAATATCAGATAATAACATGATAATAAGAAAAGCCAGATTAGTTCTTGGTGGAGTGGGGAATCTTTAATATCAAGAAGTAACATTCTGTGTTGAAAATCAGACACAGAAACTTTGTCTCAATTTGCCCATATGACTTTATTCAGACATGATCTGGACACAAGATACTGTACAGGAACCAAGCAACAAGAAGCTATTCTTATAATGTAAACTGACACTAGAAAAATCTGGATGTGAATGTTTTCACTAATTCAGTCACCTACAGTGTATCACACACCTCCCACTCAAATTCACTGTGCTATCCCAGAAGAGCTCATGATCAGATGATGATGTGAATTCTCTGGAGCGCAGAGCAGATGACACCCAAAGAAGCCTTTCAACGGAGTGAAGCCCAGTTCCTCTTACAACTTGGGCTGGCATGCAGCTTTCCCTCTCTGCCACTCTTTGAGATGACATAGTTTTTCAATACTGCAAAGGGCAAGGGAGCAAGGGAATGCCATAAGGCTCACAGGGGCACTGAAGTTGTAGGGCAACTCTGCCTCTGAACTGTTGAAAAGGGAGAGTGAGGAGAAAGCAATAAACATAACTTTATCCTTCCACTCACAAAAAACTAGGCACCCTTTATCTACAGTCTATATGGACCTAGAGCATTCTGGTCCTATAACTTCAACAAAAGTTGATGAAATTTAGGTCATGAAAACCAACATTACCATCTATGTTGAAAAACTCTACGTACAACAGGCTGATGGATCATATAAATGATAAGTCTTCATAAGGAAAGGGCAATCCAAATTGAACAGAGTAACATTTTGGATACATCACAGTAAGCTGACATTTTGGGTCCTGCTAAAATAAATACTGAAACTATTAAAGAACACATACAAGCACTTACATTGCAGAGTGCAATGAAAAGTGCTTGGAATCCCATTTGCCTTATTCACCAGAAATGTGAAACAAGGTCATGTAGAAAGCACCAACTATTCCAGCATCTCATCACAGTTCTCATCTTGGAGTTCAAACTGAAAGCAACTGTGAAGCATTAGACTGAAGGAAAAGATCACCTCAGTCATTAACCTGGGGAAAGAAGGTGATTTTGCTTCCTACCTCCATTAAAAACAAAGAGACAAATAAAGAACCCAAAGTGGAGTTAAGATTCATGTCTATGTCTTTGCATTAAGTATGCGTATGTACTACGAGAACTTCAAGAGGTTTTTCTCCTATCCTTGAAACACCCTCCCTACTACTTGATGCTCCTCCTGGAAGCTCTGTGCTCATTAATCTTCTCTAGTTCTTGTTTCCACTAAGGTAAATAATATTACAATCCTGTGGTTAATATATAATTATTTTAAGCAAATATTTCTTCCTTCCCTGATTCTTCATCCATACAGATACTCCAAATATGGCCAATTCCCCCTTTTTTCCTGGCTACAGCAGGCCAGGCAGTCTTCAGAACACTTTCACAGTCTGAATTGTCTATCAAGAGCTGGTGGAGAGTTTCCTAGAATTTGACATGCCCTCCTAGAGAACCTATTCAAACTCTCCTGAATCATGTCTTAAGACTAATAAATCTTGCTTCTGTCTATATTAGACTAAAAGGAAAAGCAGTGCAATGAAAGTGCATCTGAACAACTAAGCCAACTGCACACTGTGTAAGAGAACTGATACATAAATCTTTGGCAACCAGAGTGCTTTCAACCATGCAACAAAAATTCAGATTTCCAATAATTCAGATTCACAACCTCAATTTTGTTCTTGATTATTCTGTTTACTTGCAACCTGAACTTTACCTTTGAAATGAAATCTGTGGCTTCAAGGACTCTGCTGTGCATGCAGCAATTTAGGTTTGATACTTTAGGTATTTTATCTTTTGTTCTTACAAGTAAGGCTCAACTTAATATTCCTGCTTTAAATTCCAACACCCTAGAAAGGGTATTGGCAGTAGACTTCTGCTGTGTGTATCCAAAGTACCATTAGCTCCATCAGATACAGCGCTTTGATTTCTCAGAACTTGTCTGGACAGTATCTTCAGAACTGTATGGTCTGCAAGTTTTTTCACCTCTCCTTTCTAGTAAGTAAGTGCAACAAATTGAGCATGTGTCAAGTCCCACATATTCTCAAGAAAGGCAAGAGGTTGAATATTTATGGCAGGAACTTTCAAGACAGAAATGCAATACCAAAAGTTTATTTGCAACTTCTAAATCTGTAAGCTAGTAATTTGGATATTTACTCCCACTATTAAACTTTCAGATATGTTAAAATGACATGTTTCTATTATAAAATGAGCACTTCTCTCAGAAAAACCGCTAAGGAAAGTTTCAAAGAAATTATGTAAACATCATCCTGCTATCTGCTTTGCATTCCATCATAAAAGACTATTCTTGACTACAGGATATAAAATAGTGAAAATGCGGGTCAAGCACTCCAGTGGCCACTGCTGTGGCTTGGTGGTCCAGATTTTCTTGTGATGGGAACATATGATGACCACTTAGGGAAAAAGTGCAGATTAAATGCAACAATTACAGATTAATATTAAAATATTAGTTCTTTGGCAACTCACATGACCTGGTCAGAGTTCACTTGTACATGACTACAGATTTAGCTATTCTCAAACAATGAAATGTACCAAAATTAAAATTCTGCTACACTTACCAGCTTAAGATTTGTGCTGGTATTTTTGAAGCTGGTGATTGGGAGGTGGGGGAAAGAGCTGAGTCACTGCACATTATGAGTTGGAAGACAAGGAGCAACAGTGATAGGCAGGAGAAAGGCAATTGGCAGGATGGATGTGGAAATGCTGGGGATGTGATAGATAGAGGCACAGAAAGGAAAGGGATAGTACAGCAGGAATCAAGGAGAGAAGACAGTAGTCAGGCAAAAAAAAAAGGACAGTGGCAATACTGTCCTGATACTGATTTTAGTAACTCTAGAATATTTGTGTATTTAAAGATTTACATACATATTGTATGCTTGAAACAGAGGAATTACTAGTGTAGAAACTATGATTTACTAACGCTAATGTATTATTTTGTAAGATTTTTACCAATTAAATACATACTGATTATCCTGAAGGAAAACAATTAGAACAGGGTATGTCATATGCACCTCTACTGGAGATACTTAATATGTTGGCTACCAACAACTCAGTTCATACTCAAATGAAATAACTAAATTTAGAACCTTACTGAATAAAACATAAATAATCTGAAGTAGCACAGAAGTACTCTGACTCCCAGCACAATCTATTCACCCAGGTCTCAATTTTTTCAAATGCAACTTTCTCACCTCCATTCCACCTATATTGCAGACTATAGAATAGGCAGCCTGGTTAACCCCCTCATTTCCTGCTCTCAGACACAAAACAACAAGACAGAGCAAAGGCATGTTTCTTTAAAAATACACATTCACATACATGGAAGTCATAGAACAGAATACTTTAAAGGAGCTAATCCTCATATTATGTGACTTGAGGAGGGGAAAACTGAAAACATGCAAACATGGCATTTGATACCAAAGGTGAAACTCATTTTTTAAAATGTAAATTTACTTTGTTTGCAGTGCTGTTATCAGTATTGAAGTCACCAAGCCAACTAAAAAAGGTAGTTTAATAAAATTGTAATTGCTTTGTTTGTCAACATGAATGCAAGCAACTTGGACATTTTGTGACAGTTAAGATGCAGTTAGAATACTTACCATATGTAATCTTTCCTTTTTCCTCTTCATCTACAGCTCTAAAAAGATGTGTAACATCAATTTGTGACACACCCATGGCAGTCTTCAGAATATGAGCTAAATCCTCTTCTGTTACAGTTCCGCCTTCTGACTGGTACAGCTATGAATCAAGACAGCAAGATAAATCATTGCAAAGCTGAATGCCAGCTCTTATAAACAGCACTACACTGAAGTAGAGCAAAAGGCTGGTTTTAGACATTCTAGTCACTCTCAGACTGATGTGATATATTAAGGATTTCAGATTCGTCTGGAAAAAAAATATCATCAGTGCACATGTGTATGCTTAGAAAGTAAAGCTTGCTATAATCAGAAAAAAGTCCTATGTTTACATGTCTAACCACTGGAACCACTGTGATATTCAACAAGACTGTCAAAAATTAACATGTTTTGCAAACATATAACTGAGAACAATATTCAGTCCATTGAGCTACGTGTCTGAACTCCAACACAGTCTGTAATATTGGGAGGTATATTTAGGTCAGCCTAAATCAGATCCCATTTCCACTTGGTCAGGTGTAAAACTCAAGATTCCTTTGATCAAAATCCAAGAGCGAGCTTGCATTAAATGTCTGTATCTAAATAGTATTAATCAGGAGAATCCTACCCACATGGGGCATATACATATGGGCATATAATTTTCTACAAGTATTTACCCCAGAAAACAATCAATTGCATATTCTTACATCCTAAAGAGTTACCTCAGAAAAGATTAGTTTTACTACTGACAGATTAAAACCTATGAATAATTGCTCATAGTCTCATTCCATTTTTGCATATGTACAGTGTTTTACCCTGAATACTTCAAAACATCTGTACCAAATATAGCTTCATTAAGCTTTCTTAAGATAACTCAATTTGCCTATACAATGTGAAGTGACAGAAAGGAGGTTTTGAAGTATTTCTCTCTCCTTTTCAAGCATGACAACACTGAAAATATCAAACCATGTAAAAAGTGCCATTTAGGAAACTTCCTTTTAATTTCTCTACATCAGAAAGGTGGGAACTGATGAGATGAAACAAAACAGGCATAAGTATGTATTTTTCACAGAAGCAGAAGCAGTTGCCATGAGACAGAACACCTTAGTGGAATAAAAATACTGAAATTCCATGGAAGAAAACATATGCTCAAATCAAGAATCTTGCCTTTTGCCCCCCAGCACCTAGCCTGCACACTGTTTCACAGGAATAGGGCAAAGACCAAGACATTTCTTTAATACAACTTGATACATTTTCACAGAACAAGTAGCCAGGTAATACTGGGTGGTCAGTATAAACACTATATTGACAAGATTTACAACAGCCTTTAGTTTCTTTAGCAGTTTGGAAGGGAAGGTGTAGCACTTGCACTGGAGTGCTGCTCTTAGTCCAAACCTCCTGCCAAGGCAGGGTCACCCAGAGCAGGGTACACCGGAGTGCATCCAGGTGTGTTTGGAATGTCTCCAGAAAGGGAGACTCCACAACCTCCCTGGGAAGCCTGTTCCAGTGCTCTGCCGCTCTCAACACAAATAAGTTCCTCTTCATCTTCAGGTGGAACTTCTTGTGATTTAGTTTATGGCCACTGCTCCTCATTCTGTCATTGGGCACCTCTGAAAAGAGTTTGGCACCATTGTTCTGACACCCACTTTTGAGATATTTGTATGGATTAATGAGATCCCCTCTCAATCTTCTCTTGTCCAAACCAAACATCCCCAGCTCCCTCAATCTCTCCTCATAAGAGAGATGCTCCAGACCCCAAATCATCTTTGTGGCCTCTGCTGGACCCTCTCCATTACCTCCTTGTCTTGTGCTGAGGAGCCCAGAACTGGACACAGCACTCCAGATGTGCCTCACTAGAGCCAAGCAGAGGGACAGGATCACTTCCCTTGGCCTGCTGGCCACACTGTTCCCAAAGCACCCCAGGATCCCACTGGCCCTCCTGGCCACAAGGGCTCTGCTGGCTCATGGGCAGCTTGTCATCCAGCAAGAGCCCCAGGTCCTTCTCTGCAGAGCTGCTCTCCAGTGGGTCACAGCCCAGCCTGTGCTGGGACTTGGGGTTTTCCTCCCCAGGTGCAGGACCCTGCACTGGCCCTTGCTGAACCTCATCGGGTTTCTCCCCGATGAATGGCAGGACAGCCCTCAGGTGTATCTGCCACTCCCCCCAGTTTTGTAACAACTCCATATAACGATACTATTTTTCAAGTTCTTCAGTCATACATTAAACACTTTAACTTTGAAAACTTGTAGCTAAGTGAAATGTTGCACTTTTCCCAAAAGAAGTAGCACATGGCAGAGGACAGCACCTGTTCAAAGTCATACACTCATGAACTAGCAAAATCCTTCAATGGCTCCAGGTAAGCTGTGTGAATATCTTATTGTAGGTGAAGTCAGGACAGGAGGTAGAAAAGGATTAAAAAAGGTTCTCTTTCCTTTTTTTTTAATCCCAGCATAAGCAAAATTTCCTCAGCCTGACACTTTTCTTAACTCTTTCAATCATCACTAGCAGGATAAAATGAGCCATACCTGCTTCCCCTTGCTGAGTACTTCCCCTTCTTAATACATGCATAAAGCTTCTCTGCAGTTTTACAGCTAACTTTACATTTTGTAATTAACAAAGTGACTCAAAATTATGTATTATGAGTCATGGAATGAAGCAGATAATGAAGAACAGAAATTTTCCTAAGACACAGTTTAATTAACTTCAAGTGCTTCCAGAAAGAAAATAGCCATCCAATCTGAGCTCTTCTTCCTCTCAAATCATGAAATTATCTTGCACATTAACAAGCATGACAGCTAAATGAAAAAAAATATTTCCACAAAGCCCCCTTACATTTACTTCAAAATTGTTCATTTTAGTATGAAGATACAGAGATGACCAAACAGCACCTATTTTTCTATGCCATTTTATAGCTGAAATGGACTGAGTCAGGACAGAGACCTTTCTTTCTGCTTTTCCCTCAGAAGCAGCAATAAACAACAGCAGCTACTAATGGCAGATGTCCCACAACACTTGTAGGAAATAAATATTTTTGCTCCATCCTCCTTTGCCAAATTTATTGGATTCTGGCTGAAGGCTAAGAATGATACATGTGACACTAAGCATTCACAGGAGCCTCATTTCTTCAGCAGCACTTATTTAAAGTCACCATGCTGAAGAACCTGAATATAACTACACAGAAAATAAGGTTTCAATGTAGCACCATGCAACTGAATGCTCTGAGCTCCATGCATTCAGTAGTGAAGACAGCATCAAGACTTAGCACTTCTCAGTTTTAGTAACACTGAAGACCATGTGAATTCAAGGCAAAGGGAAAAGATGATGCAGGATGCAGCAGAGTTTGCATGTTGAAACAGTAATATTAAAGAAGTTAATTGAAAAGTAATAAATCAAGGTGTCAGAAACCCATTGGTTAAGCATTGCTGCTGTCACTTTCCCAAAAAGCTTGCATTAACAATCTATGGTGATGCTAAACAAACCACCAAGGCTAGAGCAAGATCAGGAGCGCTTCTGGGAAGCATCAAGTCTGGACAAAGACTGCAGGACCATCATACATACATGGTAAGACTAAGAGGGAAGAAAATTTTAAAAAGAAGAAAAAAGGAGATAGAAAAATCTCTATTAACACGTAGGAAATTAAAAAAAATATTTTATTAACTTGAAAAATTATATTTGATTGAAGCATTCTAAGAGTAGTAAGTACTACTCAACAGACTGTTTGTTTAGAGGAATCTGTACAAAGGACTTCAAGTTTGAAACTTAATTTGCTAAAATGGATTCTGCCAGAGTTTTACAGAGAACAATTTCAAACAGCAAGCATTCATAATTTTACACAACTTACACTTGCAATGCATTCCTTGTTAACAAGAACTCTTAATCTAACTTGCCATTAATGTTGTTTTAAAATGTAATCAAGTATCAAAAGGAAATTTGGAAACATCTATTGAGTCTAATGCCAGTATTAGTAATTTCTAAAAATAAGTAAACTACATAGACCAAGAAAATGCAGCTTACCTGAAATGCCAGCTGAATTGTTTCCAGAGTTTTGGATGGCTTACAAACAACTGACAGAGCAATGACAAATTCCCGAATGTCAATTACACCATTTTCATTCTGTGAAGGAAAACCTTTCATCAAAATAGTGCAGTTTGTCTGAGAATTTTCATAAATAACTAACAGTTGCTAAAAATGCAGAATATTCAGAAAGATTGTTACATCCACCATGATCAAAAAAGCAGTCTCACTGAAATGAAACCACACGAGGACAAGAACCTGGGTGAAAGCTCTGCAGATACTTTTCACAGTCTCAGTCAAAAGTCACAGTTTAAATATTCTTGAAAGACAGCACTACTACTGTCACCCCTCACTTGTATATTTAGGATTTTTCCATTGAAGCATCTGAATCACTGGGCTGAAATAAAAAACAGAGAACCAGAGGACAACACACCCTAATTTAAGCCCTGAATACATGACATCTGCTCCAAGAGAGAACACTGTGGACATATCCACCTCCTGGTCCAGACAGCACCTCATCCACACAACGATAATTGTTATTTCCCCATTCTGACTGATTGCCAGAGGAATGAAAAACTGGCTCACTTGCCAAGATCCTTCAGGTTTCAGGCTTGTAGAAGAACAAGTCATTTATTTACAAGGTAAACGAAATATCAGCTAACAGACACTGCATTCATCTGCTATGAGCAGCAGCAGAGGTCTAGGCTGACCCTACCTTTCTTCCTCTTCATATTCTGCATCTAGAAAAGAGATAGTTTTTGTCCAGCTGATATTCCTTTTAAGTTCTAGCTAAAGGAATGCTTTATTTAGCTGATGATGGGTGCCCTTATGTTGTTGAAATGGAAGTGCAGTAAGCAAATTTTATGGTAAAATGCTCAGAAATCAGACCTCAGTGAATTCAATTGAAACAGAAGTAGGCCAAAGTGGAGTTTACCAAAAGCAGTAAAATTCTAAAACCTAATGTTTCTTACCTCATCAAAAAGTGCAAACATACTTTCTAATGTCTGAGAAACTGGAAATTCCAAGTAGGCTGAAAATTCTTTGAGATTAACCTTTTCTTTCTTCATTTTCATGGCACTGGCAGCATATTTATCAAGATCATCTTCAAGTGTTTCTGGCTTCAGCCTATAAAGCATAGTATTTTTGCACATTTTAAAAATCAACTCAGTTTTAACAATACGTATTTCAAAATATCAAATGAAAAAATGGATGATTATGGTGTAAAGCATTAGAAAGTCTGGTTTCAGAATTATTACACAAGTTTCTTATCAAATAATGTATTTATGTAGTTTTAAAGCTCCCATTAGTTCTCAAGCTGTATCAGGAATTACTGCAAGGGCTTAAGAACCCTGGACAAACTCATGTCCTTTAGTCTACCTTGATTACAAGCCATATGTGCAAGCAGTTCAACAGGAATAAACACAGTCTAGAACTAGCTAATAAATTCCAAGCATGGAGAACTAGGTGGAATTTAGGTCACCTGAAAATGGGTGTATTGTAGGACACTAACATAAACCAATTATGTTTCCAAATTTACTAATGTCACTGAACAGGAAGGACATGATGCATCTTACCTAAAAAAAATCAGGGATTACATAATAGTGATTATACTGTTAATCCTGTTCATCAGTCCTCATTTTTCACATTCAGTCTTGAGTTGGACACCATTATGAGGTAACCCAAACAAAATTCTTGTAGTTCCTACAGCTACAGAATTTCCTTAGTCCTTCCCCATTGCAAAACCAGACATTGATGGATGAGCAACTTACATATACTTATATAGATATCTTTTATACTTATATAGATATCTACTGCGTGGTTGTTGGCTGGTTTTTTGCCTAAGTCAAGCTTCCTGTTTCGAGTTTGCAAAAAAAAAAAAAAAAAAGCTAACAACAACAACAACAAAACAACCCCAAAACCAACCAAATAACAAAAAAGCCCTACTGAATAATCTTACTATGAATAAAATAAATGGTGCTGCAGGTACAATGTAAAGAAAAGCAGCTTTCCCCCCAAATACAACATCAAGCAGATCTGGATCAGGTCTCCTCTGAACTGATTCAGGGCAACTTGGGCATCTTTCCACTCTGAAGACAAAAGACACCAGAAAAGTCTCCTACAATGTCCTTCTGCAGTTGCCTGTTTTGCTGCTTGCTGCTGCAGACAAGGAAAAGCAGTTATTCACACAACTCAGAAGCTTCCACCAGAACTGTTCCCAGACTGCAGCTGGGACTCTTCAGCAGCTTCCTCTCAGCAACAAGAATGAATAAAATGCTTAATATCAGCATTCTGAGGAGCTTCTGAAAAAAGATAAGAGCATTTCTGCTAGGAAGATGATCTGATACATCAGCTCCAGAACTTGATTGCTTGCTGTAGTGACCCTTCCTAAACATCACAACTCTTAAGTAAAAATACAACTCCCATGATTTTTGTCATGACCTATATGACATACCAATATGTACTAATTAAACCATGCCAAGACCTGTATTTCTGAATTATAAGACTTGGACATGCAAGAATTCTTCCAGAAACCCATGGCTCCTATAGAAAATTCACAAATTCTCCATCCTAGCATTAAAGCACTTATCTCAAGATTTAGTCCTAGACAGTGAAAAAAGAATGAGACACCCTTCCGCAAACATTAATTTTCCACGATCAAGTAGAAAAGTAGTAGGAACAATAACAATAACAAAAAAAAAAAAAAAAAAAAAAAAAAAAAAAAAAAAAAAAAAAAATCCATAGAGGATTTGAGATGCACACAGAACTCATCTACTCACATGCAGGATTACATGCAAGAAGTGTCCACTGATAATACATCCCAGAGTAGTGGCTGCACTGGATTTTAACTGTAGCATGAGGACAGCTGGCATCTAAATCCTCCCTTGAGATAAGCCTCCACTGACGCAAAATATGTAGTGTAACATTTGTCTCTAAATCAGAGAGATTTTGTTTGCAATGAGTTGTCTCAAAATTCACCTAGAACTGAGGGAGTGCTCATTTGGTGAGTAGCACTCAAGACTTGCAAGATCTCCTCTTCACCAGTAATTAAGCCTGAACAGCTATAGAAGCTTGAAAGCAAAATCTTGTATGGAAAGTAACACAGCTCACCACAAATCTTACAGGCATCTTGTAGTTTATGTTTTGTAAATATAGAAGGAGGTGTAAGGCAATCTCAAAAGCAGTACGTGGATCAGTGAGGCAAACTGCTTCAACTTGAGTATGACAGCACTGTGCTTCTGGTCATCCAAGGTGGGCTCACTTCCCTCTAGCCCTTCAAAACCAGGAAATCATTGTTATATGTTGATGACCATAAGCTGCTAAACTGAAGTTTTCAGAAGCCAAGTGCAAATCTCCTAATAGGTTCTGAACCAATGTGAAAAGGTCTGAATGTCCCAATTGCTTTACAATTGTCACTTTTATCCCAATGGAGGCCATAAATTATAGAAAGCCCACAACAACTGTCTTCCCTCATGAAATCATGTTTGTTGGCTTAATACTTTCCATGCAGGATCTAGGCTTTATGATATATAAAATTATTTGCTGTTGTGGTGTTTTGATTCATTTTTTAGGTCAGTGCATACTAAAGAGAAGAGGAAGTATTCCTGAGTCCATGAAGATGGAAAGGACATTCTTCAAGATTAACAGCTCTGAACATCAAATTTTTCACAGCAGACTTCACAAGGAAAACCAGATCCCTCAAGGTAGAATATTTTACAGCATAATTATCACTATTTTTAGCAAGTAAGCTAGTTTTAGCTATATTTGACTATTTGAAAATAAGCTTATTTCTTGCATGCTGGGAACCTGCCAAAAACCTTCAGAGAGCTGGAAGAACAGCTGGATCTTGTAGCTAGCTACTGGAAACTGCAAGCACAGAGAAACATGCCCTAAGCCAGAAAAGACATTCAACTTTATGTCTGCTGATGTACTTATGTGCAACTTCTTGCCATCACAGAGCAAGTATACTGAAAAACTGCAAAACTGACCCTCTTGAATACTCTTGGCACACCCTGCCTTGATCCACAAAAGCATGGGCTACCATGGCTGGTATTTGCTATCATGCCTCATCCTTGATCACCTCCTGAATCGGAGAGCACTGCTTTTATCACAAATGCAGAAGGTAAACATCCTCCAGAAGTTTTTTCCTTGTTATAGATGAGCACTCTGAAGTCACACCACGGGTAGCTGTGAGGGTTATTACTCTGGGGACACAAAGTTCTACCTACTGGACCATTGCAGACACACATGGAGAGCAGAAGTCTGCATTGCAGTCTGGATGCTAGAGGCTGTTGAGCAAGAATAGGCAGGCACCAGGCCTGAGGTCCTTGCAGATCTTGGTAGCTTACAGCTGCATTGACTAAAAGGATCCTCATGGTCAACTTGATGAGGTAATATTGGCAATTAGAACAAACAGAACCTTGAAACAATAGGAGCAAATCAATTCAAACCAGAACTCAAGGGTCTCCTTGCAGGCAACTACCCTAAAGCAACTCATAAGAAGCATCTCATCAAAAGACAGACTAGACTTAATTAACTGTATTAACACTTCCTGAAGGAGAAGATATTCAAAGAGGCACAAAATCCAAACAAGATTCAATGTCCAGAACATGGTGATAGATTCAGTTAATTTAAAAATAGAGATTCACTTTAAACAGTGGGGCAATCACTTACAGAATAAGTCATCAAATGAAGCAGAGGATTTACAATGTATGAAAAAATAAAAGCTATAACTTAGACTACACATAGTTTAGCAATTAGCTTGTTGGTCAGACTTAAACTATCAGACTGAAGAGAAACACAAATCCTTGAGGAGTAATGAATGCACAATTTGAGAAGGTATGTCTGTGATCAATTGATCTCATTGATAAAGCAGTCATTTTATCACAGAGTTTGGTACAAGCCAGCTGTACAGCTGTTAACAGAGCCCAAGCTCTTCCTTAGATGAAGCATGAGAACTCACTGCTGTGCCTGCATGCATTCTGGACTGGATCCCATTCAGCTGAGCACAGGCTAAACAAATTTTACCAACAACAATAATGAATCCTGTAGACACAATGTGCACAGAAGTAACTCTTCAGTAGAGCAAATTGAGGTGTAAGTTGATTTCAAAAAATCAAAACCAAAAAGAAGTCTGAATTTACCTTACTATAGGAATCTTAAGAATGGATGTTACCTTGAAAGTATGCCATTGCTCAAAAATAAATGTTAAGACTGGATGAAAAATCCATTGGATAAAATTTACTTTTCCAGTTATTTAGGGATGCTAGTGGATGATCTTAATGCCTCCCTGACCTCAAAACCTTTGAATAAACAGCAAAATGACTACATTATTATCAAAAGTGCATTAGAGATGAAGTCATATTACCATCTTCATCCAATTGTGCCAGAAAAATACCAGCATAATATCCTTCTTATTGGCACACGCCCAAATTCAGAGAGCATTATATTTCGCCAAGGATTAATTGCTCATACCAGAACAAGAACTTCTGGGCTGCAGTGAACCTCACTCACAAATGCATGTAACTGTTTCAGAGGCCAAAACAAAAGCATAATTTAAAAGAACAGCTTTAAATTGAGCAGACAGAAGCCAGACAACTTAACAAGAGGATTAAACTGAATCCTGGGATTATCAACTGCATAATAAGAGACGTGGGTGGTTGGTTTGTTTTGTTTCACTTGTTTTTCTTCCTTAGGACTGTAAATTCAGAGCCTTTTAAACAAAGTGAGAATCTTTATTTTCCCCTATAAGTCTCTCCTATCCTAATGGAAGTTTTTCAGATGGAAGCCCTGATAATAGATTAGTACATGCTTGTCATCTGAATTCATGATGTGTGCTATCCTACATTCCTTATTCTCCAACAGAGCTTTTTCTTCTTTACTTTCATTTATGTACCCAAGCTGAAGATGAAGGAAAAATTAGTGAAAGGACACAAAATACACAATGGAAACATTAAACTATGCTCTGTAATTTCAGGTGATGAGACAAGAAAATGAAAAAAGAAGTTTGTATATTGAGAGTTAATAGGATGAGGCTGTACATTTAGTTCATAGTTGCTCAATAAGGTCACTGGAGAAGCAGGAGGAAAACTGGAAAACAGCAGCAAGTTCTACTACTTGGTTTATGTAAAATTTTCAGGTTTGCTGAGGCTTTTTTGAAAGGTAGAGCTAGCAGGAAATGGCACTATGGGAAGAAAGAGGAGAGGACCCACGCTGCATGCACTGAGCTACAGCTGCATTAGAAAGTCCATCTGGCAGTGACCTGCTCAACAGATCAACTACCACCTTGTCCTTCTCAGGAAAGGGTGACCCCTCTGTCCTCACTATTACAAGGTTAATCCAGCCACAAGATTGCTGTTGGCAGCATTTGTTTTCCCTCCACAGATGTCACAGGAAAAGGCAATTGACTCTCAACTGTATCAAATATTAGGAATCCCATGGTATTCCTGATCCTCTTCAGAAACTGTCTTCTAGCGCAGGAATGAATGCTTCAGACTCACTCTGCTCCACTTGTCAGATGGAAAATAAGAATTTTCCAACCTACTCTACTCATTAGGATTCAGGGGTGCTGCTTGCAAGTGAAGTAGAGTACTGTTTTAATTTTACACTTGTGTTTCCCTGATTGTATGATGACAACACTCCATTTATACTCATAAATGCAATATTGTTACATGATGGGAAAACTACAAATATATAATAAAGATGCACCTTACATATAAATATTGTGTATGCTCACCCAAGGCTTCTCACAAGCTTTGCAAATTCTAAAAGACATGTATCTGAAGGTAGACGAAGCTGTCCCTCAGCCAAAGCCAGCTGACAGTCTTCAAACGTGTAGTCTGTCACTGGAACTCCCAATGCCCTTGAATAAACCAAAGAAACAATGTAAACAAGACACTAAGAAAACTGAGCAGAATAATCACTTTTTTCACAGCAAGAAATCCTGTAACTATTATGCTTTTAATTCTGAAAAACTATAAGGAAGAGCCAATAAAAGTAAGTTTATATAGAGAACGAAATATGGTGATAATCTGTTGCAGAGCATCTGCTGTGACTGAGTCCATGAAAATATGCAAGAACACAAGGCAAAAATTAGGCAGTGCATAGACTTTCATAGACAAATTTCATAGAAGTGAATATCTAGGGTTTCAAAATTTTTAATCTAGAACACAAATATATATTTATTAACAACTGTGTCCAATATTTTATTATTGATTTATTAATGTGTTAGCGCAATCACCTCAGCAGAACAGCTATTACCTCCAGCTAGTATTAATATTACACAAAAGGCAACATTTCTCTATAAATAACAGCTAGAACACAACATATAAAAACAAGTAGAGTTAAACTCTAAGCAAACAAGTTATTTTTAAATGTATGACATAGAGGTAGAAAAAAATACTCCCAAGTCTTTATACACCAAACAATTCAGTACTGGTTTTGGCTTCATTTCTAACTTGATACTCTGTAGTAATTGCAGCACCAAAAGATAATTGATGGAAATTCTGATATTGTAGCTGCCCTGCATTTGCTGTGGCAAAGTTGAGAGAAAGAGTGTGGTGTGAAAGAGGCCTTTAAGAGTTCAGTGTACAAACATAAGATGCAATTTGGAAAGCCAGCATAGCTCCATATAAGCTACTCATCTGCCACATTTTTTATTATACTTGATTTTATTTATCCTAGTAAGGAGCATTATCTCCTTTATGCAGTGTTTTCTAGTTTGACGAAATCTTCACAAAATTTTTTTGTTTAGTTACCTTCATTCTTTTCATCTACAGTTTGGCTATCTTACTGCTAACCATCTTTTTCATACGTGAAGTTAACATACACTAATGGCAAGATTGATGCAAAACCCTGAGGCCTGCCACACTAATTTTGGCTTTGATGAAAACTCCACATTCAATTCTCTGCTTTACTATAAGTAGTTTGATCTGTAATGGTTGTCACCTCTTATGCAAACAATTTCTGTCAAACAGTCTCTTCCTCATGGAATTTCACTCCAAGGCCTTTGAATAGCAAGGTTAATAACATAAGCCAGTTCTCTTCTGTCCACCAATTAATTATCAAACTTCAGGAATTCTGATATATAGCCCATGCACTAAACCTTAAAGGTACTGATCAGGGCTTATCTCTTCTCTTTGAGGCTGATAAAGTCAAACATTTAACTAATAAATATTCAAGCTCCAAAGTACCAAATATGGTAAAAAAATAGATAGCATTTATAAGCTATTTATGCACAAAACAAGGAATTAGAAGGTAGTGATCTTGACTGAATAGCTTTCCTCTTCCTAAAAAGAAGAAACAAAGAGAAAGGAACAAAAGGACAAAATCAACTAAACCAAATGATTTAGGTACATAGAAAAGTCATCTTACAAGCAGAGTATTGAAGATTAGATTGCCTCATACTGGTGATCTAAGCAATTAAATCCAGTTCCTCTAAAATTTTCCCTGTTTGGTCTGTTCTTGTTCAATCAATTCTCTCCTCCTATGAAGTGTTCCAGCAGTATTTGTAAATCAGTAAACCACCTTAATGGAATGGACAAGATTCTTGTGATACCTTACCTGACCCCACAGACTCATGGTAAAATACAGATGAAGAACTCCCCCATGCTATGGGGATTTAAATCCATTTCCAAGTTCAACCTGAGTTAGAGATCAGGTATTGTGAGCATGTCAAGACTTCTGTTTTATAGTATTCCATATAGTATTATACAAGATGTAATATATGATGTAATAGATGTAATCTGTATTATAATAATCTGTACTAATATATGTAATCTGTATTATACAAGATGAAATCACTGGTATTTTACAACACAAAATTAGTTTTCCTCAAAAGAAGAGAAAGGAGTGGATGAAAGAAGCAGAGTCTCTCCAGCCAGTTGAGATTACTTCCTATTCCCATCTTTTGCACTTGATCATCCCTACAGACATCCATCTCAACTGTCTCCAGCAAGGACATGCTACAGACAGTACTACCCAGAGCAGTTCCATAAAATAATGAAACAAAGATCTAGCCTAGCCAAGCATATTACACCAAAATTCATCTGTTCTCCAGGCCACACTAGGTATAGCATGTAACAGAAATACAGGAACTTACAGGCAATCAGCTGAAGCACAGGGGAACTACATGCAAAAGGGGAAGCATGTTAAAAATAAGTTAGGAAACTGAAAGAGTAAAGTGCTCCTCTGTTGGACATATTAGGAAATCAGAGAAGTGGTAAGACACTTAAATTCTGAAAGGACAGAAAAAAATTAGTGTCATTGAAAATGATTAAAGGTGGCAATTAAAATAAAGAGGCTTTAAAGAAACAGAAGAAACTCAAGCCTTCTCTCAAGTGAAATAGAGAAGATGGACAAGCTAAAACACAACCGTAAGGTGGCAAGCCAAAGCAAGAAACAATAGCTTGTTAAAACCAAAAGCAAATGCTGTTCCAACACATCAAAAGAAAGATGACTAAGAAAGATCAGGGCACTCAGCCTGGGGGGAGGGTTGAAGCCTGACTGACTGCCAGCACCAATGCCAGATTTGAATAACTGCTAAATAATGGTCCTTGAATATGTTGAAGGAGCCTAGCCAAGAGAAGTTTTTAAAAAAGCCCAAAACAAACAACAAAAAAATCAAAACCAAACTTAAGATAGAAAATAAACTCCAAACAAAAGCCAGGGTCATTTCAAACTCAGCCAAACCACAAGGGGAAACACAACCTGCATCTTTTTATAGCTTTCTGCACCCCTTATAAAAGAGGTGGTAGTTGGGCCAGAATTATATTGCTGCTATCAGTGAAGGAAAATCCCCACTACAATTAACATCTACATGTATGTTCAATGTCAACACAAACACAAAATGGGATTCAGAAAGACAAAAGCAGCTTCTTTTGTTCATCTGTTGTAATTTTCAAGCTGCTGGACTTAAAAAAACCCCAAACAAATGAACTTAAAGAGGGTACATATACATCCAGACTTTCACAATAACAAAGGTCAGAAGCAAGGAAGGAAAGAAACACTTTTGCTCAAAGCAAAGTTCAATCATAGAATCGGCCAAGGCCAGATAGAGTTCAAGGGGCTCTTGAGTTCAGAAGACAAATCACAAGCTGTAGAGAGCTAGCAGCTTTAAAGGACCTTGATTTCAGCTCAGAATATTGAAGAAACTGAAACTGGGCAACATATAAAGTTCATTATTTATGCTAAGACTTGTGAAATTTTTAATTTCTTAGAATAAAGTCAGGCTTATTAGAGTTCACTGTAAGGCCTCGGTACAAGTGCAACTCACAGGATTTTCTACACAACCAGTTATCAAACTATTCTAACTCATCCTCCAGGGCAATCTTTTTCTACTTCAGTTGGGAAAAAAAAAGATAATTTCAATTTGAGATGCAAATCACACATACAATGCCATATTCTTAATAAACTAAAAATAAAACAACTTTTCCCATATCTTCACTTGAAAGCATTTCTCCCCCTCTTTTCTTCAAACTACCTCTGCTTTCACAGTAATGTGAGCCTAGCCTTTTAAAAAGTCCAGCAGATTTAAATGGCCTGATATGAATGTCTCGCTTGACATACCTTGAGACTTTTTCCTTCCCTGCCCTGCCCAAGGTGCTGGCTGTTTACCCATCATGACATCACACTACATGAAGTTTCAAAGTCAGCAAGTTGCTTGAAAATAATAAACTCAAATGAAACAAAACCCCAAAAGCTTTCCTGCAAACCCAATCTGAGAAACACAAGTTATACTTGTTATATACTGATGTCTTATCCCAAACAGCTCTCTATGTCTAACATTTGTGCAGTCATAAGATGAATTATTAACTTCCTCATTTTCTGCATACCAATCCACTATGCATGCAAAATGCCAAACATAAAACAGAATGTGACTGCTGGAATATTATGTAAAGTGAGAGAAAACAGTACAAGCAATATTGTGACATTTGGAATCTACATTTCAACAAAAAGATTCCCAAAATGTTTTACATTGTTCATAAGCAGAACTGTGAACTAATCAAGAGAACATTCCACAGGCTGCTCAGAACAACTCCTATAAATCAACTATAATCTTTATTGGGTACTGAAAACATTAGGATTCTATCTAATTTGGTATTTTTTTTCATTACTGGATGTTCAGCAGAAAGACACCCAAAACATTGTGGACAAATAACTCCAATTATTAGTAGTCATCTAATCTAGTCATCAGTAGTACACCAACTTCCTGCCTTTTGTACCACTATGTTTTAGAATGTTTTTATGTTTTAGAATCACTCATTAACTACATGTTTTTCACAGTATATCTCAGCTCTGATGAAATAATTTTATCTATCTGGTAATGAATGCCACAATTTTGCACATTTTTAAGACTTACTCTATTTACTTTTAGCTGATCTACTGTTGAGTGCTTTCCATCCCTCCTGCTATGAAAACTAAGACTTCCTTTAGTATGCTTTTTCAGAACACTGGGATTTTCCTGACCTTCAAAACAACCCTCCACTCTCTTTTTTCCCATCCTTTCCCAAGCCAAAGTGCTGCCAACTATTTCGTTTTGGAAGGCCAGAGTAGATAGTCCCTTTTCTCTCCTCAGACTACTACTTTGTGACATTCTCCAAGCAAAAGAAGGTGCAGTCATGAGTCTGAAGTTCACATAAGGAATCTATTATCTCATAATGATTTAGACAGAAAAAGAAGCTGCCAATGACTGTATTTCTGCCTGGTGTTGTTTGAAATTGGGTTCTGTAATTGTTGATCTTGTAGACTTGCACATCACAAATCTTCAAGGAGTAAAAAACAGAAGAGGTTCTCCTTGTGTTGTCAGCATTCAAAAACCAGAGTGTTGCAGTTCAAACCAGTGTTGCAAAGTTATTACTTAAC